CATCTTTGGTGCCTACAATATTTTAAATTTTCATAAATCCAATTTGTCTGCTTTGCATTTGTTGCCTGTGCCTTTGGTGTCATATCCAAGAAATCATTGCCAAATCCACATGTCGTGTTTTTGCCCTATTTTCTTCTAAGAGTTTTATAGGTTTAGGACTTACATTTATGCCTTTGTTCCATTTCAAGTTAATGTTTGTACATGGTGTTACATAAGGGTTCAACTTCATTCCCCTTGCATGTGGGTAGCCAGTTCAGCACCATTTATTGAAAAGACCATCTTTTCCCCATTGAATGGTCTTGGCACCCTTGTCAAAAATCATGTGACCATATATGTGAGGTTTCACGACTGGTTCTTCAGCCTATTCTGTTTGTTTGTATGTCTGTCTTGATGCCAGTACCACACTGTTTTGTAGTCAAATTTGAAATCAGGAGGGATGAGAAGTGTGACTTGTAAATGTTCTTCTTTTTCAAGATTGCTTTAGCTACTCAGTTTCCCTGAGATTCCACATGAATTTTAGGATGGGCTTTTCTATGTCTGCAAAAAAAAAGGTCATTAGGATTTTGACAGAGATTGCATTGAATAGGTAAATTGCTTTGAGTAGTATTAATATCTTAAAAACACCAAGTCTTATAATCCATGGATATGGTATGTCTTTCTGTTATTTTGTAGTTTTCATTGTATAAGTCTTTTACCTCTTTGGTTAATTTGTAAGTATCTTATTATTGTTGCTTTTGTAACTTATTATTGTTGCTTTATGAATTGTTTTCATAATTTATCTTTCAGATTGTTTATTGTTAGTATAGAAATGCAACTGATTTTTGTGTGTTGACTTGTTTTCCTACTTTGTTGAAATAATTTACTAACTCTAACAGCTTTTTTATGGGGAATTTTTGGGGTTTTTATTATGTGGAGGTTATTTTCTTCTATTTCTAGTTTGTTGAGTATTTTTATCATGAAAAAGTGTTGAATTTTGTCAAATGCTTTTTCTGCATCTATTGAAATGATTAAATTGGTTTTTTTAATCTTCATTTTGTTGATGTGGCATATTACATTGATTTTCATATGTTGAACCATTCTTACATTTCAGGAATAAGTCCCACTTGGTCATGGTATACAATCCTTTTAATATGCTGATGTATTGTTTGCTAGTATTTTGTTGATAATTTTTGTGTCAATGTTCGTCAGGGATATGGGTCTGTAGTTTTCTTGTAGTGTCTTTGTCTGGCTTTGTATCAGGGCCATGCTGGCCTCATAGAATGAGTTAGGAAGTATTCCCTCCTTTTCAAATTTGGGAAAATTAAGAGAACACTCTGTACTAGTTCCTTAAATGTTTGACAGAATTCACCAGTGAAGCCATCAGGTACAAGCCTTTCCTTTGTGAGAGGAGTTTTGATTAACAATTCAATCTCCTTACTAGTTATAGGTCAAAGATTTTCTTTGATTCAGTCAAGTTTTGTGTTTCTAGGAATTTGTACATTTTATCTAGGTTGTACAACTTGTTGGCATACAATTGTTCATAGCGATCTTATCCTCTTCATTTCTGTAGAATCAGTAATATTCCCATTTTTCATTTCTGATTTTAGTAATTTGAGTTTTTTCTCATTTTTTAATATATCTAGGGGGCTTGTTAATTCTTCCCAAAGCACCAACTTTTGGTTTCATTAAATTTCTCTTGCTTTTCTATTCTCTTTTGTTTATCTCTGATATAATCTATATTAATTTATTCTTTCTAACTTTGGGTTTATTTAGTCTGTTCTTTTCCTAGCTCCTTAAGATGTAAAATCAGGTTGTTGATTTTAGATCTTTGTAGTTTTTTTAATGTTAGCATTTATAGGTATCAATTTCCCCTGTAGACTGCTTCAGCTATGTTCCATGAATTTTATATGGTTTCATTTTCATTCATCTGAAATATTTTCCAATTTCCCTTGTGATTTCTTCTTTGATCCACTGGTTGTTTAAGAGTATGTTTAATTTCCACAGATTTGTTTCTCACTTCATCCTGTGTGGTCAGAAAAGGTAATTTTATATGACATTTGTTTAAAAATCTGTCTAGACTTGTGGCCTAACATGTGGTCTGTCCTGGGGAATGTCCTTCTTGCACTTGGGGAATATGTGTATGCTGGTGCTGTCAGGTAGTATGTTCTGTGTATGTCTGTTAGATCCAATTGTTTTATTGTGTTCAAGTCCATTTCCCTAATATCTTCTGTCTCATAATTGAGGAGGGGTATTGAAATCATTAGCTATTGTAGAACTATCTTTCAATTCTGTCAGTTTTGCTTCCTATATTTCAACAGTCTATCATTAGGTACGTAAGTATTTATATTGTTAAATATTGCTATATTGAACATTTTATTAATATATAATGTCTTTGTTCCTTGTAACTTTTTAATTTAAATTCTATTTTGTCTGATACTAGTATAGCCACTCCTGCTGTCCTTTGGCTACTATTAGCATGGAATACTTTTTGCATGTCTTTGGATATCAAGTGATTGTCTTGTCGCAGCACATTGCTGGATCATGTGTTTTCGTCCATTCTGCCAGTCTCTATTTGGACTGGAGACTTTAATCCATTTATGTTTAAGGTAATTACTGGTAAGGAGGGACTTCTGTTATTTGCTGTGTGTTTTCTGTATGTCTTGCAGCTTCTTCCTCCTATGTGTTGCCTTCCTATCTTGTTTTATGTTTAGTTGGTTTTTTTGGTAGTGAAATGTTTAAATTCCTTTTCCATTTCCTTTTGTGTATATTCTAGAGCTATTTTCTTCATGGTTACATTTAATATCCTAAAAGTGTAACACTAATTTGAACTGGTACTAGCTTAACTTCAGTAACATATAAAAACTTCTCTCCAGCTCTGTCCCCGCTCCCTTACGTGGTTACAAAATTGTACCTTTATATATCACATGCCCCTAAACACAAACTAATAATCCTTTGAAATGCATTAGTCTCTTACATTATTTGAAAAAAAAAAAAAGATGGACGTATGAAACAAAGTTCTACCAGTACCGGCATTTAGACCAGCTTCTTCATAATTGGGCTTGACTAGGGCTGGGTTTTCGCCAAGCAAGTAAGACAGGCAAGAGGATTGATGTCTGGAAGGGAGCGATGATCATCCCGTTCTGTGGCACCAATGCTGGGCAGGAGGGCACTTGCCAAGAATATGTAAAGAGGATGGGGTTTAAAAAATGACAGATTGCAGGCCTTGAAAAATGTTTAGAGGTTTTGCTATGAGGGCACTAAAGTGTGTGCTGGGCGGGCAGAAGTGGGTCAGAACAGAAAACCTGAAGTCAAAGTTCGAGACTCACAGGTGAAACGTCCCAGGGGTCAGGGGCAGGGAGGCTCAGATGGAGCCGCAGGGTGGCAGCTGGAGCTGGTGGGAAGAGGCCAGTGAGCTGGGTGCTAGTCACCAGTGAGGAAAAGCAGCTCAGGGGTCAATCGGTGAGGCCAAGTCTAGATGTAGATGTGTTACAGGTAGGGGGCATGAGTTTCAAGGGAACTGATGTTTTTGTAGAGGCAAAGTGGTTTGAAATAGGGAAACTGAGAACTAAGAATGTGGATTGAGGGACAGTAACAACAACAAAACCCCAGCTCCTGCTTGGGGGAGCTCAAGGGAATACTGTGCCTGGGCAGCCGGGAGCTGAGACTTTGAGGAGAGGTTGAGGATGTCGGGAAGTTTTTTCAGTACATACTGGAAGTGAGGGAGGGAGACTGGGACAGATTTGAGTGTGGCCAAGACAACCCAGGCTGTGGGCACAACAGAGAGAGTACCCCCATATTCTTCTCTACCTCGGAGCTGGGGGGCCTCGGGCCAGCACTCAGTCTGTGCTGTTTTCTCATATGTTCAAATGCAGAATAAGGTACCTACTTCATTGGGTTGGCCTAAGGTGGAAGTAAAGTGCGGGCTGCAGTGCTGTCCACATGTGTGCCCTCAGAAACCAGCGTTTCCTACTCCTTGTCTCACCTCCTCAGCTCGGCCGTGGCCTTCCCCCAGCCCTGGGCTCGGGGGGCTGCGGTGCCACCCTGACAAGGCCTGGTCACAGTCTGCCGGGGGTGCGAGAGCATGAGTTCCACATGCCGGCCTCAGGCCTGGGCTCTTACCATCCCGAGAGTGGTATCACTACTCAGTTACCACACTTAGATTAAAAAGGGCAAGAGCCCTGCTATGTGATAAGGACTTTTAAGCCAATGTGAATTTTTTTAGTGGGGAGATAGTATAGCACTTTTCTCATCTTTCAGGTCACAGCTTAAATGTGACCTCTGCCAAGAACCCCTTAGCCTAGCCCTACAGCTCTCAACCGGGGACCATCCCTGAGGGGACATGTGATCATGTCTGGAGAAATTTCTGGTTGTCACAACTGTTACGTGTTCTACTGGCATCTAGTGGGTGGAGGCCACAGATGCTGCAAACATCTACAGGGCACAGAATGACAAAGCCCCAAATGTCAGCAGAGCCGAGGGCCAGACACCCTGGCTTGGACTGTTTAATGGAGCTCCTGGGCCCTGTCAATCTTTCTCCAAGCCCTGCTATTCCTTTGTGACACTTACTGCAGTCTGTAATTATCTAGATGGATGACTTAAAAAAAAAATCTCTTTATTGTCCATCTGTCTCACCTGGAATGTAAGTCCCAGATGGCAGTGGTTTCTCCTGTCTTTTTACTGCTGCATACCAGGTGCCTAGCATGATGCCTGGTGTATAGTAGGTGCCCAATAACTATTTCTTGGTAAATGAGTAGGTATCTGTAATGAGTGTAGTTATTTTTTTTTCCTGTATGGAACTTGGATTTCACAACTCCAGTGTACACAGATCTAGTAACTCAAAAGTGGGGATTTTATTCCATTTCAAGCCAAATAAAATTGACAGCCCAGTCAAACCCTGCTGTTCAGGGTAGCATGTGAAATGGTGAATGGCCTTTCTGGAAGTTTTACCAACATGTATACTGAAAGTTCACCTCATCCCCAAGTGCTCAAAAAGAACCGAGACAAAGCCCACAGACTGAATATCTAATTTATAAAATGTCACCATTTTTATTTTGTCATTGCAAAGAGGTGTTTCTCAACCAGATTGTAACAAAATTAGCCCGCTTATTCCAAAAGAAAATTTTAATACAAGAGATTTTAGAAAATTAAACACATTTGTTTAAAAATTCTATTGTGTAAACCTTAACATAAGAGGGTAGTTAAGATAACACTACATGTTTCAGAGGGAATCTGCAGCCTTCCAGGCCTCGTTTACAGACAGACAATAGTCTAGACTCTAGAAATGTTGTCTTTTTTACCTCCTGACAGGCGGCTCACTGGGACCCAGGGGTGGGTGACTCTGGCCGGGCAGAGGCCCCCATGCTGGGATTACCATGGCCCCTGCATTCAACAGACTCCCTCCTGCAGTTACGCAAAGTGTTCTATGAAATGGCTCTGCCAGGGAGGGTAAAGCAAAGGCTGCAGAGGTAAAGACATTCTTTTTAGGAGGAATCTGGATAATAAAAGATCCTAATTAGCTCCACCGTCCCCTTGTTCCTGGAAATGCATGTTCTCCGGGTTCTTACCTGGAGTGGCTACAAAAGTACAGTCAGCCATTTTGTACCCTTCCGTGGCCTCAGTCCCAGTTTCTGCAAGGGCAGCCCCGGCATGGCCCATGTTGATGGGAAGGATCGCCAGTGAAAGAGTGGCCTCTCCCCTTGCAGTTTGTGAAGGGAGGAGCTGACCCGACAAGAGGCTGCGGTGTGGGCAGGTCTGCTGGAGGCCGTCCAACGGTGATGGGCAAACGGTCACATGCCGGGGAGAACTGAGCCAGGCCCCAGGCCACTCGTGTGCCCTCCCAGTGGGATGCTCCTCTGTGCTCTCGGCTCAGCCAGCTTTTAGAGAAATCGGATGTTTCTTACTTGTCTAGAGAAAGTGATTGGGTAGGTGAGGAAGCCCATTCAATGCATTATGACTTAGAGACAAAGCCAGGGCCCCCTGGCACACGTCAGAGCTGCCCGTCAGGCCTGGTACGGACAGTTGCAGTGCAGACTGCCCAGTGAGCCTCAGGAGCGGCTCCTGGGGGGCTGCTCAGAGCAGGGAGCCTGCCAGCGCTCCACCCGCATGCCTATTGATCCAGGAGCTGAAGTTTTATTTTAGAAACGTAGTCAAGACCACATGTTACATGAAAATGAACTTTTTGGCACAGAAATGTTAGATAAAATATACAGTGCTACGGTTGTGCAAAATTAGCACAGAAGCCAGCCTGAACAGCAAATATTTAATGTTAGCTTTAATGAAACAATGCACAATATTTTGGAAAATGATCGTTGCCAAAGACCTTGCTTGTGAGCAGACGGCTGCCTGCTAAGGCCCTGCCTGCAGGCCAGGGAGAGGACCCGGCATGTGTGGCACTGTCCCCAGTGAGACACCGAGGCAACACTGTCAGTTAGTGCCTCTGGGGCTGGAACTTGAGCCTGATGTGTGCCCTGTCTAGGGTGCCCCCTGGCCAGTCCACCAGCCCTGGGCAGGGGCCGGCGGCCCTTGGCAGAGTTCTTCTCAGGCAGGTCCATGGCCATGCGCTTCCCCAGCCCCAGGCCGAAAATCCAGCCTGCGCTCTGCCATCAGTTACGTGGGAGGCCAGGTGCCCTCGGGGTGGAGCGCCTCACCGTGTGCGGGGCTGGGGCTTGTCCAGACGAGCTGGCTGAGGAGTGAAGGAAGGATCCTGGCAGCGATGGGTCAGGAGGGTGCCTGCTGGGACCCCGGAGGACAGGGCCTGGCCTCCACGCAAGGGGCGAGCTGGTGTCTCCGGGTGGCACCCGTGTGAAGACGAGCAAACCTGGGGGAGGCTGAGGCCTGGAGCTGGGGGCTCAGGTGGCCACACTGTCCCGAGGAGGCCACAGAGCCCTGGTCCTGGGTGCTGGGGACTCAGCAGTGCTGCTCCTGATGCGCGGCACGGAGACGGGCCTTGCTATCTCCAGACCTTGGGCTTCGATTTTCTGCCCCCGGGGCCTGTTGCCTCCTGGCATTAGCTACTGTTGGGTTATCAATTCTGTGGATGTAACAACAGCTTGGACCCCTGTCTTTTAAGGCACAGCACAACTTGCCACTGTTGTAAAATTTCAGCCATTGTGATAAACTCTCAGCTGGAGAGCAGAGTCAAGAGCTGTAATTAGACCTTGTCCACAAACCCTTGCCTCCTGCTAAGCCTTCTGAGATGGTATGGTGTCTTTACAGCTCAATCAGCGGCTGGCCTCTGCAACCAGGGAGCCTGCATGTGCCGGTGGGTGGGGGGCCTGGCTGCAGAGTGAGGCAGGGCTGTTCGAAGCACCGCGCTGCGCTGTGATTGCCGTCATGGCGGGAGCGGCACGTGCCTGGGGATGATTCTCAGGAGCCAGAGCCCGACTTTCAGGGTGACTGGTGGGAGCGTGGCTGAGCAGGCCCGCTCCTGGGGCCGCGGTTGCTTCTGGGCTAGGCTTCCAGTGGCCTGGGACCTCCCTTCCCACAAACTTTGCTCTTTTAAGGACACACCTCTGCTCAGCCCTACTCTTCCTGGGTTTTGTTTCCTCTGGGGGCAAAGAAGGAAGAAACGAGATGAGGGCAGAGACAGCCCGTGCCGAGGGTGGGATGGGCCCCATCCCTGCTAAAGCAGTCAAGAAGGAGGCAGCTGTCTTCGTGGAGAAGGCCCAGAATGGGCCATCCTCCCAGGTGTGGCCCTTGAGGACTGAGGCTCCCTAGGGTGGCAGGCCTCTTTGGTCTCTCTCTGCACAGGGAGGGCTTCCTTTCTCAGTGCCCACTTAGAAGGCCCCACAGAATCTTCTTGTGGGATCAGGAGGCAGAAGCAAATTGAACTGGTTCTTTCTGCAGGGCTGGCTTTCCCTCCAATGGGTTGAGAGGGGCTCAGTACATGTTTTGGAGGGAGAAGGACAGCCAGTCCTCTGAACTGGATCTGGAGGAAGGGCAACAATGACATCCCCGGGGTGACATTTTGTGCACCAGCTCTCAGCCTGGGCTGGGGTGTTTGATTCCCTTTCTCTAGCAACCACCATCTCGTGGTGCATCTCCCGGTGCTGGAGAGCAGGGCAGTATTCCGAGCAGCTAGATGGACTAAATCATTGCAGGACATTCCATGTGATTCCAAAGTTAAGGCTTTGGGGAGCTGCTGTATTGTGCATGTCATGTGCATGTCTGAGCTCGTGTGTCTGTTGACGTGCACCTGCTCCCAGGGTTTCCACAGGGTCATAGGCGAGCCAGTGGCTCCCAGGTGGTCTCTAGGGGCACGCCCTTACCGCTCACCTTTTGGGAGAGCAGGGCATGTTCTAAATCATTAATTAAAGCTTTGAGAACTGGGCAGGCAGAGTCTCTCCTTTTTCCTTACAGGCTGAGTGTGTAACTGCTTCCCATGGCTTAGCATCTGTCTATTGTAGCCCTGGGCACCTTTATTTCCCTTTGTTTTTTTTAACTCTATGTGCAGAATATGAAAGCAGGTTCCTGGTGGGGTGTCTGGAGAAGGTGAGGTCAGATCCGCACTCAGGATGGGTGTTCCATTCACTGTCTAATACAAACAGAATGAGTCGCGGGTGCAGGCTCCGTGGCCAGATGGGCAGTGCTGGGACTGGCTGGCAGCCGGCGTCAGGGACTGACTTCAGAACAACGGATGTGGAGTAGACCAAACTCAGGGGGCAGGAGCTGGGGAGCCTGAGGGTCTAGACAGCCCCTGATTATTTCTTCTCAGGAGGCTCTATGTTCAAAGCAGCCCGGTTGTACCGTGGGGCTTGGCATTGCAAACAAAGTACGTGTGTGGCAGACACTGTGGCAACAAGAGAGAAGCCACGTTGCGCTTCTAGGACACGGCGTCTCTCAGGTCCTCTACACCCCGAGCTGATGGTACGCCCCCAGCCACACATATGCCTGCTTCCACCCACAGAGAGCAGCAGGCTCGTTTTGCTCACCGGGCACGGCTCGCAGGGCCCACCGGCCCCTCAGTTGCTCAGGCCTACTCCGTTCCTCTGAAGGGCTGTGTGTAAATGCTTGCAGTTTCACTTCAGTGCTCGGAGTAAGTTTCCTTCTGGTTGCTGGGGGAGCAGACAGCATGAACCCTCCAGGTGCTTCTTTCCATCGTTTCCACTATCTAAGAAATGCCCAGTGCTCTCCCAGGTCGCTCACCACGTTTTCAGCCAGTGAGTTGACACAGGTCCAAGCAGCACACAGTCCCCCACTGGCCGTCTTTCACCCATAGGTCAAACTGGCTCTCACATAGTCTGTTTTACACACTTCTATCTAGTTTCTTAATATTCTCCCCAGAAAATGCGAGCCCTCATGACTGTAGTCAGCAGCTGAGGACGGCTCTGCCCAGGGCGGAGACAAATCCATGATTCTGGGTGTTGAAACTGGCCATATGGCTCTGGTTTTGCAAGGCGATCTGATGTGGGAGTGTTGAAGTGGGAACCTGGGGTGGCTGCTGTCCCCGCATGCCCATGGGCCTGCTCCCACTGAGCATGTGGGGGCCCAAGGGTGCATTGTGAATGTGTCTTTAGGGGACAATCATGACCTGTTCAGAGTGGATCCTGCCCAAGTTCACAGAGTGCCACACTGAGCTCCACTGAGCCCTGGAGCTGGGTCAGAAAGCCAGAGTGCCTCCAGAACCTTCTGCAGTAGTTCCCAGATTCCTGGACAGTGCAGGGCTCCCATGTGGGGTTGCTGTTGATGGCTGAGGTCCCACCAAGCCTGACAAAGTACACATGGGCCTAGGGAGCCTCGGGTTTCCTACCTGAGCTACATAGGGGGATGTGTTCCAAGACCCACAGTTCAGCATCACGATGGTACCTCTGCAAGGAGGCCTCTGGCATGTCTCCTGGAGCAGTGATGCCACGTTGGCCACTGCAGGATACTAGGGTGTCTAATGGCTACCAACAGAGAGTAGAAAGGAGAGGAACAAGACCCCCTCCCCCAAGCCCACATGTCCATGGGCTGAAGCAGGCAATTTTATTAAAAAGAAAAAAAAACTTAACAGTCATTCTAAGTCCCACAGGGAAAGAGTGAAGCAGTTGTTTCTGAATGGCCCTTATGGCCAAATGAAACATTAGAGAGTGCTGCTAGGCTGGGGGGCTCTGAACCCACCTGGCGCCCACCCCCCTGCTGGCTCCTGGCCTGGAGGAAGGGGAACAGACGCCCTTGCCACCCAGGCAGACGCTGGGGGAGCAGTGCCTGTGTGTCCAAGTCTGTCGAGGGAGGAGCCACCTTGCCCTCCGAGGCTGACCAGTCTAATCAGCGTGTCATGTGATCAGCAGGAAGGGTGTGCCCGCCAGGGTTCGCCAGGTGGACCTGGTTGTCATTTGAAGGTGTAAGGGTCCACCTGCCATGGCCAGGTCAGATGCAGAGTGGCCAGGGTGAAGGCAGCTGGCACAGCACATAGGGCCCGAGTCTGGGATCCTGTTAAGGTCAGAGGTCGCCGCTCTGGGGCTCCACGTTGCGCGTCTCCCTGGGGTGACCTCGGGACAGCTTGGGGAAGCGGGGAGCTGCTCTGGGCTGGCTGTTCTTGTTCAGTGGTTCTCCAGGAGGGGTGATGTCCCTGTGAGATAGAGCAGGGGAGAAACTCATTAAGCCAGGGGTTCCAGCTACAAATGACCACAGGTAGGGCGAAGAGCTCGGAGGGAATGCGGGGATGGCAGGAGTGGTCACGGGGGACTTGGACCCCCAGCTCTGACTGGCCAGTGCAGTATGGAGAAATAGGGAACCCATATTAGGTAAATTTTCTTTTCCCAAAGCACCCAAGCATGGCTGTGGGTCAGGCTGGCTTGTGGAGCCCCACTAACTCTGGACCTGACCTTAAGGCTATAAAGAATGTGGTAGTCAGTGCTTGCTTCTCCAATTCATTGATCTTCCAGCAAAGGCACCTTTCAAAGAAAAGAAGATGCTTTGCAGAACACTGCATTTAGAGTCATAAAAGATGCATAGCAGAAAAAGAAAAAAAGTGGTTTCTTGTGGAATAATTGGGATGGATGCCACTTAGAAGGATGCCCTTCACAGTGCTGCATGAAGGCTGAACACACGGAGCAGCTCCCAAGTCCAGCTGAGGGGCTGGTGATGAGGCTGCAGGGCCGCTACACGCCGGGACAGTGGGGCGGTAGTGGATGGCGGCATGCTCTCACCGGGAAAGGCCCTACTAGGATTAGAATGTGGGATAAAGCAAGTAAGGACAGCATGCCTGCCACATACAGAAGAGGCCGGGCACGTTGGTTCGTTCAGTCAATTCCATGAGTCTTGAGCACCCTGTGGACCAAGCCCTGTTCTCCATCCTGGGGATACAACTGTAAGCAAACCAAATTCTCCAGGCCCAGTGGACAGAATCCACAGGAGAGCCAGTCTTATCCATTAGAGATTAAGGGCACCTGTGCAGCCTCGGCCTTCCTGAGAGGCCAGCCTGAGGCTGCTGCTTGCAGGATGGCAAGGAGTGCCGGAGAGGGGCAGCCTGGGTGCAGGTCAGGGCGAGCAATGCTAGGCAGCAGGGCTGTGGCTGTGAGCATGAGGCAGAGAACTTTGTCTTACTTCTCACGGCTACTGTAACAAATTTCCACACACTTAGTGGCCTAACACCACACATGTATGTTTGGGCGGAGTAAAGTCAAGGTGTGGGCCTGCTGGAGGCTCCGCGGGAGAAAACATTCCCTGGGCTGGCCGCCCCTGCCTCCCTCTTCCGACCTTCCCTTTGTGTCATCCTCAATTGTCACACCTGCAGAGTCCCCTCTGCCACATAGGGGGACATAGGTTCAGGGCAGTGGGGCGTGGACATTTTGGGGGTCATCATTCTAACACAGACGGAGATGTGAATAGGAAATAGAATCAATAATACTTGGTAAAGATATGAGAAAAACCACCTATAATATCACCATGGTATAAAATGTTTTTTAAAAAATGAACCTATGATTAAAGCTCATTCTTGTGACCTGAGTGTCCCTATGGCTACAGGCTCCAGACCAGGGGCTTTCTGGGCGTAAGCCCTGAGGCTTGGGGAGGATGCCCAGCGCAATCCCGATGAGTCAAGGAATGAGTGACAGTCAAACAGAAATGGCCCCTGGCCAGTGGTCCCTGCAGGGTCCCGTGAAATCGCCTAATTCCATCCAGCTTCTTAGGGGTGGCTGTTTCCAATGATCTGATTTTCACACCGCTTCAGGGACACAGCCTCCATGCTCAGTGACATGCCCCTTGAGTTTGGGAGGGCGTCTCAGTAAGGTAGAATGAAAAATCCACCCAACTGTTACCTTCTCCTTTGGGAGCTGGGTGTGCTTTGCCTTCTGTGCGTGGAGAAAAAGAAGCACTTGACTTTGAATGAAGTGGGGCCGCTCGGGGCATTTCTGCAGCCAGTCCAGCCACTTTGTCACGCACGGTCTTCCTTCAGAATGCCATGTGGCACCAGCCCAAAGCCAACATGTCCCTTTCTTCTTCGACACCTGCGTTACCCTACCCAAGCCTTGTTATCGCTGAACGTCTCTGAGAGGATGGGTAGAAGGTGATGGAAGGAATCTTTGCTTAGATATAAATGTCATTTTGAGCCACCCCCTCCTTCTACACTGTGTAGGATCCAGCGTCCAGCCGGCTGCCCCTAAGCCTGTGGCTGCTGCCACCACTGGGCAAGGCCAGGATGAGCCCTGCCTGTAACGTCCAGAACCTGTCGGCCCAGGCAGTAGGTGGCTCTTGGGTGGGAGAGTTACAAGGCACTGGGCCCAGAACACTGTACCCTGTGTTTTTCAGCAAATGACACTGACTTTGTGGGGAGGCAGTCTAGGGCTGTTGGGGGTCAGGGCAGGGTGCCGTGGCCCTGCCATCAGCAGGCTGTGTGCTGCACTGTTTTGCAGCCTCCTTCATCTGTTCCTTCGTCTGTCGTATGGGGATGGTGACAATATGGCCTTCATGGGGCTTTGTGGTAAGGACTTGGGAGTTAGCCCCACATAAAGCCACTAACTAGCTGCATTTCTTCAGGCAAATGCCTTGTTTTCTTTAAGCCTCGGCTCCCAGGATATAAAGATAGGGTTGTTTTGAATGTTACATGGATAAGCAATCATTCAAAAAATTGTGAGTTCTGTTGCCAGATACCATACTAGGCATTGAGGGGCACAGAGGTTAATACGGGTGGGAGGAGCCTGCGGCCCTATGGGGAGTGGGCAGGGCAGCCCTGGAACAGACCACAAGGGCGCATGGTGTTCTGCACGGGGCACTAGACTGGGTCACTGTGAGGGCTTCCTGGAGGAGCAGCAGTGAGCTGGATGGCTCACAGTGAGAAGGGCCCTCTAGGTTTAAGAATAGCACATGTGAAGGCAGACGGCCCTGGGCTGGAACGTGTGCACATGGCGGCCGGCAGACATGGCCCAGGTACTTCACCTTCCTGGGAGGCAGGATTTACCTTGGGGCATGGTAAGAGGTCACCAAGATGCTGTCTGTCAAACACCTGTGCCTGACAGTCCTCAAGAGTGGAGTGGCTCAGGTATACCAGGGGTGGGGACAGCTCAATCCTAAAGGCCACAGCAAGAAATGGCAGTCAGCTGAGCCACATTGGTTGCTGTGGATGAGACAGACCATGATAAACAGTACATATATCTTCTCAGATTAGTAATTTTATTTTTTTTGGGTAAATTCCCATAAGTGGAACTGCTGGATATATAGTGTTTCTATTTTTAGTTTCTTAAGAAAACTCCATACTGCTTTCCATGGTGGCTGCACCAATTTGCAACCCACCAGCAGTGTCAGGCTTTCCATGGTGGCTGCACCAGTTTGCAACCCACCAGCAGTGTCAGAGGATTGCCTGTCCTCCACCTCCTCACCAGCACTTGTTATTTCTTGTCTTCTTGATACTGGTGTGAGGTGATTTCTGATTGTGGTTTTGATTTGCATTTTCCTGATGGCTGATGATAGATACTGAGCATCTTTTTATGTGCCTGCTGGCCATCTGTATATCTTCTTTGGAAGAATGTCTGTTCAGGTCCCCTGCCTATTTTTAAATCAAATTATTTGGGTTTCTTTGGTGTTGAGTTCTCTATATTTTGTACGAGTTGTACAAGTTCTCTAATATCCAAAATATATAGACCCGTAGTGAATTATATCATTTGCAAATATATTCTCCCATACAGTAGGTTGCCTTTTTGTTATGTTGATGGTTTCCTTTGCTGTGTGGATTTTTAGTTTGATGTAGTCTCATATTCAGAAAAAAATTGCTAATATGATGATCAAGAGTTTACTGTCTATGTTTTCCTCTAGGAACTTTGATTTCAGTTTTATATTTAGAGCTTTAATCCATTTTGAGTTTATTTTTATGTATGGTGTGAGACAGTGGTCCAGTTTCCCCAACACTATTTAAGAGGCTGTCTTTCCCCCATTGTATATTCTAGCCTCCCTTGTCATATATTAATTGACAATATAGGTGTGGGTTTATTTCTGGGCTCTTTATTCTGTTGGTCTATGTTATCTGTTCTTGTGCCAGTACCTTACTGCTTTGGTTACTGTAGCTTTATAGTATAGTTTGAAATCAGGGACTGTGATACTCCCTGCTTGGTTCTTCTTTCTCAAGATTGCTTGGGATATTCAGGGTCTTTTGTGGCTTTACACAAGCTTTAGGATTATTTGCTCTAGTTAGTGAAAAATGCCATTGGTATTTTGACAGGGATTGCACTGAATCTGTAGATTGCTTTGGGCAGTAGGGCCATTTTAACAAAATTAATTCTTCTATCCATAAGCATGGAATAGCTTTCCATTTCTTTGTGCTGTCTTTAATTTCTTTCATCAATGTTTTAATTTTTTACCTCCTTGGTTAACTTTATTCCTAGGTATTTCATTCCTTTTGATGCAACTGTAAATGGGATTGATTTCTTAATTTCTCTGTTCATTACTTTTATATAAAAATGCAACAGATTTCTTTATACTGATTTCCATTGGACTTGTAGTACTATGTTGAATAAAAGTGGTGAGAGTGGGCATCCTTGTCTTGTTTCTGACCTTACAGGAAAAGCCATTGAGTATGACACTAGCTGTGGGTTTGTCATATTTGGCCTTTATTATGTTGAGATAAAACAAAGTGGGTAGAGAGCATGCATATCATAAATGGATGTTAAATTTTATCAAATGCTTTTTCAGTATCTATTGAGATGACTATATGGATATGACCATATCCTTCCTTTTGTTAATGTGGTGTTTCACACTGATTGATTTGTGGATATTGAACCATACTGGGATAAAAACCGCTTGCTTGTCTTGAATGATCCTTTTAATGTATTTTTTAACTTGATTTGCTAATATTTTGTTGAGGATTTTTGCATCTATGTTAATCAGGGATATTGGTGTGTAATTTCCTTTTTTTGTAGCGTCTTTATCTGATTTTGGTATCAAGGTGATGATGGCCTCATAGAATGAATTTGGAAGCTTTCCTTCCTCTTCTGTTGTTTTTTGGTATAGTTTGAGAAGGATAGGTATTAAATCTTCTCTAAATGTTTGGTAGAATTCTCCTGTGCAGCCATCTGGTTCTGGACTTCTGTTTGTTGGGATTTGTTTAAATTACTACTTTAATTTCACTACTAGTAATGG